ATTCACTCCAATTATACATATTCTATGAAACATTTCGCATCTGAAACATTATGAAATAAGAACTCGTGGATCTTGAATGAAAGACAAATTGCAAAGATAGAGGATAAAATCACTCCAGAAAAATCGTTGTAAGCTATAACAGATCCTCTTGAGTGAATTAAAAGAGTACTAGAAATGAAATTGGTAACATCGCAAGTAGAAACTAAACCCATCGGATTTTAACTCTAGTACCATCTTGAGCATTAAAAAAAATAAAACCACAAATAAAAACTAAACCCATCGCATTTCATCTCCAGTACTATATCTGAACATAAAAAAAATAAAATAAAACCAACTCGTTATTTAAAACACGAATACGATGGATTTGGTACAGATCTAACCACTTTTTTGCATCACCATAATAATATTCGTGATTTCCCGTAACAAAATATGTACGGAATCTATGAGTTAATTTCCTAAAAATAAATTTGAAGACTAAAAAAAACTATAAATTCTGTATAGAAGCTCACCATAGAGGAGTCAGACGATTGCCTATTTGTTCTACTGAACCATCTACCAAGTCGCCAACCAACGCAACTGCGTCAACATCCAGGTCAAAAAGGGTGGTAACGATTTTTTCAATCTGTAAATTAAAAAAATAACATAAATTTACCGCAAAAGTACTATTTAATTACTTTTTCGCTTGCTAGAGGTGATAGGTGATGATTTGTAGAAAAATGAGTGATATGAAAACCAAAATAAATGAGGGATTCAAAGGTTACATAACCCATCTTTATCGCAATGAGCTAAGCCCGAATTTCAAATAATAATTTGTGGCGATGCACAAGAAATTGTTTGGATCGCAATGTCCGCTTTAGGTTGTCACGCTCACTCAGCAATCTGTCCGTCAACATTAACTGCATATGGCCTCCCTCATCAACCGTGCTTTACAGCGACAAATCACGTGGTGCTACTCGTCCACAATTCTTCCAAAAATAATTCACAAAAATCTTCATTTCTGCCATTATCACTAACTTCAAATTAACATTCGTTAACATATCCAAAAAAAGATAAAGAGCACCGGGTCAAAAAGGTGTTTGACTCTGCCTTGGAATTGTGCAATGGTGTATATGCAGATTACATAAGAAATCCAAGTTGGCAGATTACAGCAACACATAAAATCTCCTTCATCTGCGGCAAATTTCCAGACAACCGACTACAAACTCAGAAATTTTTGAAAACGCCACCTACCTGGCCAGCATAAACACTAGCACCAGTATGGACGTC